ATGTTCCAAATCTTTGACTTGATTCTTGTGATCTTCCATTCTGTTTTTAGGACTCTGTATAATATTTTTAATTTTAGACAATGTATTCTTTGTTTCTTGTTGATCCCTTATTATTTTTTGTTGATCCCTTATTATTTCTAGTTGATCCCTTTTCATATCCTCATAGGTCTCGTTTATTTTATTGGCCTTTTCTAGATTCTTGAACAACCTTATAAGTGTGGTTTTGAACTCTATATCCAGTTGCTTTTTGTCCTCCATTTCTTTCGTTTGTGATCTATTTCCTTGTCTCAGCATTTTCGCAGCATCCTTGATGGGGCGGAGTTTCAGGGGGGGAGCCTACAGCCTTGGCTTCCGTCAGCCATGCCCTACGCGGCTCCTAAGTCTCAGTATTCCTCAGGGTCCTTCAGTACTCACTGCAAGCACCTCTGAGAGTGAGGTGCCCTCGAGTTTCACCTGCTACCAAACAGTCTAGGCTCTCCCGCAATGGGCCCGGAACTGGGGTTCAGTTCAGTTGGAAGTGGGATTGGAGGTGGTGTTCAGAGCAGTCTGGAGCCCCTGTCTCCTTCCCGCCAGGGCAATCCCGCGGCACAGCCAACCGTCCCTTCTCTGCGCGCAATGTGCGCAGCTCCAGGGGCTCTGCCTTTCGCTGCTCACCTGGGATTCTGTCTCACAGCCCAGGCTCCCTCTGTTTGAGCCTGGGTCCCCAGGGTCTGGCTTAGAACTGGGGTTCAGCACTGTCGGATCAGGGGTCTGGAGCTTTTATCTCTTTCCTGCTAGGGAATGCCAGCCAGGCACTCAGCCTCCCCTCCTCTCCGGCTCCGTCCTCTCCGCGCACACCGTGTCTCCATACCTTAGGCTTTTACAGCTCCTCTGCTCTTCCTTCTGGTTTTCTCCTTGCTTCTCATCGTAGGATTTCCAGTCAGTCAACTTTCCTCTAGTTCTGGGTAATGTCCACTTTATATTTTAGTTGTATTTTATTGAAATTGTGTGCGGCTGCGGTTAGGTGTTTACCTGTGCAGCCATCTTGGACCCTCCCCAAAGCTCCATGTGTAGAGGAAAAGAGAGAAATTTTTCCTGGTTTCTTCTTGAAAAATCTCTAGACTCTCTGACTGAGCCAGTGTGGAGTAACCCTGGTGGAAGTGGAGTCACTGCTGGGGTGCCAGGCTACGCAGAAGCCCAGTGCAGAGCCCAGGAGGGGTCAGATGGCTCACTGTCTGGAGCAGAGAATGAGGATGGTGACCCCCAGGAACATAAGAAGTGCTGCAGCCAACAGAGGGGAATCAATTCAGGGCCAGAGAAAACAAACGGCTATCACAGACAGCAAGAAAATGCAATGAAAAGGAACAGGATAAACACCCTTTAGTTTTGTGATTATTATTTTTTAAAATAATTTTTTATTGATTTCAGAGAGAGAAACATCAATGATGAGAGAATCATGGATCATCTGCCTCCTGTGCGCCTCCTACTGGGGATCAGGCCAAAACTCAGGTATGTGCCCTGACTAGAAATTGAACCATAGAGACAGGGTTCATAGGTTGATACTTAACCACTGAGCCACGCTGGCCGGGCTTGTAATTGTGAACAACAGAAAACCTAAAAAAACTACACAGTGAAGGGAATAAACGTTCCTGCTGTTTGGAGTCAAACATCCTTTGGGAGGACTAGACTTAATTTTATGACTAGTCTTGATTTTAAACATTTCCTTTTCACTGCACAGTTTATTTAACAGATATATGTACTTTATATATGATAAATCTTAAGTTATTTTTATAAACCTAAGAGACTTCTTAAAGGGTTGTCAATATCCTTGGCTACATAAAAATGCAGTGTTTTTTTTGTTTTGTTTTGTTTTGTTTCTAAGTCATGGAAAATAAATGGTTAAGTGAGAAGGGATGGACAGAGTGGCGAGATGTTAAATTATGGGGAAACTTTCTGAGAAGAGCCCACCATTTCTGTGATAAGCAATCAGCAGCCACCCCCTGACAAATAGTCAACAGCCCCCAGGCACATGACACCAAGCGCTGAAGGCAGCTGCGCAGTCTGTCTGACCCAGAACATTCAGAGGAGACTACAAGGCAGGTAGGCAGGAATGTCCGAGGCACCAGGTGCCCGCACACTCCTTATCTAAAGGGGATTTGCACTTACTTGGAGTTACTCTAAAATAAGGATGTACAATAAAAATCACATCGGTCAGAGTCTACCCTCACCATCCTTACATTACCCATAAGACACAGCATCTGCCAGTCAGCCTCACAGGGCAGCTTCCTCCCGTTTTGGTACAAATCACCCCAAAGAGCCGTAATTAGCCACATCTGTCAGAGTGCGGTCTGAAGCCAGGCTTCCTCCAATCCCTCCTCTGCTCGTTCCTCAATGTGGCTTGGGCCTCAGCTCTTTCCCAGAAGTGTGGTTGTCACCGTATCAATGAGCACAGAGATTCCCGGGGCCTCCCCTGCAGTTGGTTTGGGGCCATGGGAGGAGGGACAGTAAGGAGAGGTGAGAAGGTTGAGAACTGGGTGCCTCCTCCATCCTTTTCTTCCTTTGCTTCAGTGACCTCACAGATCCCATATTCCAAATATTATAATTTATAAGAGGACTGTCCAACCTGGACCAGTCATTGTAGGAGCAACACATACTCTGTTACTGGGTTGAGCTGCTGGTATTTTGGTAGTGTTGTAACTATTACAAACTAGCCTCGGCTAGCCTGATACAATGCGGACAGTAACATTTCCGCCTTCTCGGGTTGTAATACAAGCTGCATTAGATGACATTTATAAAGTGTTCAGAATTGCACTTGACTAAACGTTATATCAGTGCTTAGCAGGTGACTGGGTAGGTGACCAGGGACAGACATAAGGCAGTAGTTGCTTTATGATCTGCTCTGAGAACAGTGAAGGGAAAATCTGAGTCTTGTGCCCTATTTTATGCTTCACCTCCAGAATAGAATTGCTTGCATTTTACAAAATTTTCCTCTCTTTATCTCCCTAGAGCATAGCCCTGAATTAGCACAAAGTGCACATACACTACAACCCAACTGTCCCTAAACCCATCACCAGGAAGAAGGGGCTATGCACACTCCTCAGACTTCTGCGATATTCCTAAACCTCTTGGATGGCTTCAGAATTTGACATGCTGTCATCTTCTTCAACCCCCCACCCACCCACAGCCCCCAGACACTTCACATTCACACCGAGGACACCTCCAACACCATGGCTCCAAGTCCACACCATTCCACATCCCATCTTCCCTCATGTCAGCTGCTCGATGGAACAGTTACCACTCAGAATGGGTTGTCATGGAGACCATCACATCTCGACTTCCCACATTACTGCCCTAATCATAACTTTCTGCAGCCTTCCACCTTCCCCAACCATTCACTTCCACTTCTATCACCTGCCCTTGCGTTAGACTATGGGTGGGAAGGTTATTGGTGTCCCCATAGGGCAGGGAGCACCAACTACAGCCCCTGGGCCAAATCTGCATTTGTGAATAAAGATGGGTTGGAACAAAGCCACGTCCATTTGTCCCCATGTTCTCTCTATAATGGCGAAGCTGAGCAGCTGCAACAGAGACCATAGTGGTCTTCAAATCCTAAAAGATTTACAATCTTCCACAGAAAGAGCTGTCTGATCCATCTAAAAAGCCATGCCCCTTCGCTAGGACCTCTCTGAGATCACTGGAGCCATGCTTTACGGCCAGCCCAAGGCTCCGACCACAGCAACCCTCCTTCCACTGTGGCTGGAGAGCTGGGTTGTGAAGGAGCGTGGGGAGGGAGGGCGAGATGATGGAAGGGAACTGGCTGGTGGGTTGTGCACACTCAGAACCAGGTGTTGGTAAGGTGTCCCAGGCCTCCCCAATGCCAGGAGGCATCTCACTTGGGGCCACATCTGCCCTTCTCCCCATGACCCAGGGACCGTTTTCCTGCGTGACATCTGAGCTCTGGGCATGACCACAGGAAGGCCTGCCTTCCCACTGTCTGGCATCAGCCATCTCCAAGGTGAGTGCAACCTAGCTGCCCTGCAGTCAATAGCACGAGGTTGGGAAACCGGGACCAGAGAGTTTCCTGGCTCCTGCCCTCATTCCCCTGAGGACCTTGGCCCCTGTCTGCCTGGGACTCTCCTGTCCAGGGCATACTCAGGAAGAAGATCACACCTGAGATCTTGCCTCTCAAAACCAGCTTAGCCACTGCCCCACCTAGGCTGACGCCAGTCCCCCAGGACAACCCGTCTCCCACAATGCTTTGCCACCATCTCAATCAGAGTCCTCCCCATGGACTCCCTCCAGTGTAAGCATGCCTCTCACCCCAAGGCGACAGCACCCACTCTATGCAGACACCTGGTAGGTATTCAGTAAGGATGTATTGCACTGAGTTACATTAGTACCATTTTAATTTTTATGAAGCCACGAATGCTGACATAGGTGCTCAGTTAGTTTTGTTGCTATGTCACTGACGAAAACAGCCCACATAAGTAGTATTACTAATTTTATATGCTAAAGCTCAACTTCAAAGGGTTCATAACAAATTTTAAGAGCTCTGGGAAGATGTAACCAAACTGATTATTTCTGTGAGAAGACTTACTTTAGAAGGATAGTCAAAGAGAGTTTTAATCTTATCTGTCATGTCCTAGTGTTTGAATGTAGAACCGATGCATATAACTAAAAATTAATAATTAGAAAACTTCAGTCCTATTTCCTGAGACATAATGACCTTCAAGGAAGGGGAAGGGAGGGAGAAGCGAGGGAGGAAGGGAGAGGGCGAGGATGGAGAGACAGTTATTTAGGATAAGAGTTGTCTAAAGTTTTCTATTTTGTTTCTCAAGTGTTTCTGGAATAATCACTGCATGGGTACATGCCCTGAGCCTACATTGAAAACAATGAGAGGCGAGAGCCACAGACGTAACTGACCTGGGGCCCCGGTGGTTACATGAGTTAGTTCTCTTAGTGGAGAAAATTAACAATTTTTAAATCAGGAATAAATTATTCAAACCTCTGTGAGCACTTACTGTTGCTTCAGCCACTGCTCCACGAAGGGAATGGAGAAGAAATCTGTGAACGGCTCCCCTGTCCTCTTTGGATTTTGGCTGGTCATGATGTCATGTTTGATTGACAAGAAAACAATAAGGAAGAATTCAAGTCAATTGTCGCTATCCTGCTTGCAAAGCAACATTACTGAATCTTTAGGATCACCGAATATTCATGAAAAACTTACTTGTATAACCACTCAGTCAGAAAATCACAGGCAATGAACTTGGTCCTTTTCCTCTAAAGAGAGAAGAAAGAATTAAATTACATTCTATGCTCACATGTCTAAGCAGGACAAAGGAAGAGAGGCTACCTGGTTGCTGTGCCCCAGGACACACGCACACGTCCTCCACGTAGCTCGTGAGTACAGCAGCAAGAATCCTGAGCACGTCCCCCGTCCTCTGGACAAGCCAGGTCTGCAGCAGTGCTGATGCAAGGCAGGCCCACAGCAGGGAGCTTATTACTTGCTTTAGGCCAGTGGTCGGCAAACTCATTAGTCAGCAGAGCCAAATATTGGCAGTACAACAATTGAAATTTCTTATTGCGAAGGAAAACCCCTATTTTGTAAAAAACTGCTGTTTGGAATTTTCTACTGTTTCTAAAAATGTTTGCTTTAGCCTGCTTGTAAAATGAGGATCATAAAATTAGCTGTCTGACCTTGCAGGTCAAGACTAGGTATGCCCATAAATTTAGCTGTGTTTGTTTTCAAGGACAGCAGCGAATAACCACTAATTAAACAGAGAGCTGGCTCCTTTATAAAAAGGGAAGCTCTGCTTGTACCTTTGCTTAGAATTTGAATTCATTTTCTCTGAGCCCATCGCACGATGAATAAAGTAAGACTCCAAACTCTCCTCCTGCATTGTCTGATTGTTCGGGAACCCTGTAACATTATGAGAGCCAAATTTTTTAAACTTAAACTATATAGGTAGGTACATTGTTATTACCTTAATTAGGGTACGCCTAAGCTGGCCTTTGCTAGAAACTCAAGGGGCCAAAGAGCCAGATGTGACTCGCAAGCCGCAGTTTGCCAACCAGGGCTTTAGACCATTCTCAGGATTTATTTAAATTGGAATAATTATAGTTATTGCTTCCCCCCAGTTCACTCAAATCCTCAGAACAGATTACTCCAGGTCTAGATTCACTTTTAGATGGGGAGGCGCATCCACAGGCACACTGGCTGGTGCAGCCGACCCTGCCTGCTGCGCACCCAGAGCCGCTCGCTACTTCCTCTGGACTAAGGAGCCTGACTCTCAGCCCAGGGCACAAACGACATGTCCCTGCCTCCCACCGGAAAAGGAACACAGTTCTGCCGATGAGATAGGAGTGGCCGTGCCCTATGGTTTCTGAGCAAGTTCTGCTCTTCATTTCTGACCCCCCGCTCCCAGGAGTCTCCTCTACTTTCAGCTAGATCACAGGTGCAGGGCTGGGTGTGCAGTGGCCAAAGCCACCTGCCGAAGATGGGGAGCCACCTGCCAAAGATGGGGAGCTGCCAGCTGAAGACGGGGAGCAGTGAGTTTGGATCCTGGTCTTTGAGGACTTCCGGGAGCCAAGGGCCTGGCCTGCTCTGGACATCTTGACACGCAGGTAGATATGAGCTTCACCCAGGCTATTCCCAGGCCTTGAGTTTCCTCCATGCAGCTGGATGCAGTCCTTGGTGACAGAGAGGCTTGGAAACCAGGGACACGGCCTGGAGTCATGGAGAGAAGGCTGGGCTTTCAGTGGTGCAGCAGGTACCTGCCTCCCAGTCCATCTCAAGTCCCTTGTGACCCAAACAACCAGTCACCTTCTTTAAGAGACGTATTATCTAACTGGGAGGTGGAGGGTGGCTCTCCTGGGCAGGGCTCATGCATAGTAAGTCTAGAGGTGTGGGTGGCTGGTTCAGGGCTCCTGCCCTGAAGGAAGGCCACACAGGGTCTGCTAGCAGCCTCTCTGCCCACCCACATCTATCCTGCACCCTGCCTGGCCCCTGGAGGCTCATTTTATGCTTCACATCAACCAGCTCCTTTCCTCTCTAGTTGGGTCCCACCAATGGGAAGTGCCAGGAGGAGATGAGAGAGAGGAGAGAAGGCGGTGCTATGGGTTGAATTGTGCCCTCCCCCCAATTCACTTATTGAAGTGCTCACCTCTGGCATTTCAGAATGTGATGTATTTGGAAAGAGGACATAGCAATTCCAAGGAAAGTGAACAAATACACCTATCTCCCCCCCCCCCCCCCCCCCCGCTCCCCCAATCTATTCCAAAAAATCTAAGAGGAAGGAACACTTCCAATCTCTTTTTATGAGGTCAGCATTATCCTAATTCTAAAACCCGCTAAAGACACCACAAAGAAAGAGAAGTACAGGCCAATATCCCTGATGAACACAGATGCTAAAATCATCAACAAAATATTAGCAAATCAGATCCAGCAATATATTAAAAAAATAAAATCATGACCAAGTGGGATTTATTTCAGGCATGCAAGGCTGGTACAATATCCACAAATCAGTAAATGTGATATATCACATGCTGGAGGCCAAAGCATAACAGCATTTAGCATAAAAATGCAAAAGAGACATTGGAAGGCCAATGGACCTTGATCCCAGCAGGGCTGGAATCAACACAAGATTGCTCCTGCTGTGATTGCCATGGCTCGAGGCAATTTCCTGACCTGATAATCTTTACATTGTATACTAGACTATACCTTTGTTCTGTCTGTATGCATTGCTCAAGGACAAATGTGTATTCAAAGTGAATAAAAGTAGATGGGATCCAGTCTTGTGAGTGTCTTCACAAAAAAGGTTTCCACCTGCCCCCCCCATGCCTTCAAAATTCATATTTCTTATGTTGATGGCCCTCCTACAAGTCATCCTGAACTTGCTGTGAAGGTACAGCAATCACATAAACAAATTGAAAGACAAAAATCAGATGATCATATCAATTGATGCAGTAAAAGCATTCAACAAAATCCAATACCCTTTTTTGATTGAAAACTCTCAGCAAAGTGGGAATAAAGGGATCATACCACAGCATGATAAAGGTCATATAGTCATATCATACTCAATCATCAAAAATTAAAACAATTTCCCTTAAGAACAGGAACAAGACAGGGATGCCCACTTTCACCACTCCTGTTCGACATAGTGCTGGAAGTCCTAACTCTAGTGATCAGACAGGAAGAAAAAAGAAAGGCATCCAAATTGGAAAGCAGAAAGTAAAACTCATTATTCATAGAAAACCCTCAAGACTCCACCAAAAAACTACTGTACTTAATGGATTGGTAGAATTAACATTGTTAAAATGTCCATATAACCTAAGGCAATTTACAGATTCAATGCAATCCCCATTAAAATGTCAATGGCATATTTCACAGAGCTAGATCAAATACTCCAAAAATTTATATGGATTCAAAAAAAAGACGCCAAATAACTGCAGCAATCTTGAGAAAGAAGAGGAAAGTTGGGAGGGATCACAATACCATGTTGTACTACAAAGCCACTGTAATCAGAACAGCCTAATATTGGCCCAAGAACAGGCATATACTGTAGATCAGAACAGAGACCCCAGAAATTGACCCAAGCCATTATGCTCAATTAATATTTGGTAAAGGAGGCAAGAGTATACAATGGAGAAAAGACAGTCTCCTATTGATAAAACTGGACAGATATATCCAAAAACATGAAACTAGAACACCAACTTACAATATATATAAGAATAAACTTAAAATGGATAAAAGACTTAAATTTAAGTTGGGACCCATAAAAATCCTAGAAGAAACCACAGGCAGCAAAACCTCAGACATGTCTCATAGAAATATGTTTACAGATACATCTCCAATGGCAAAGGAAACTAAGTAGAAAATAAATAAATGGAACTGCATCAAAATAAAAAGCTTCTACACAGCTAAAAAATCCGTCAACAAAATGAAAAGGGAGCCCACTGTATGGGAAAACATATTTGGCAATGATACATCTGATAAAGAGTTAATATCCAAAATGTATATGGAATTCATACAACTTAATAGAAGGAAAACAAACAATCCAATTAAAAAATGGGCAGCCCTAGCCAGTTCTGCTTAGTGGATAGAGCAGTGACCTATAGTCTGAAAATCTTGGGTTTGATTCAAGGGCATATGCCTGGGTTGCGGGCTCAATCCCCACTAGGGGTATGCAGGAGGCAGCAAATCAATAATTCTGTCTCATCATTGATGTTTCTATCTCTCTCACTCTCCCTTCCTCTCTGAATCATTAAAAATATATATTAAGAATATATATATTTTAAAATGGGCAAAGGACCTAAATAGATATTTCTCCAAAGTGGACATACAGATGGCCAAGAGACATATGAAAAAATGCTCAAAGTCACTGATTATCAGAGAGATACAAATTAAAATGACAATGAGATATCACCTCACTCCTGTCAAAATGGGTACCATCAACAAGTCAATCAAGGACAAGTGCTGGCGAGGATGTGGAAAAAAGGGAGCCTAGTTCACTGCTGGCGGGAATTCAGCCATTATGGAAACAGTATGAAGTCTCTTCAAAAAAATTAAATATAGAACTGACATTTGACCCAATATCAATTATTTGCAGATGACATGATACGTACGTAGAAAACCCTAAAGACTCTTCCAAAAAACTATTAAATTTAATAAATGAATCTGGCAAGAGTATCATGCTAAGTGAAGTAAGTCAGTCAGATAAAGATAAGTACCACATGACCTCACTCATATGTGGAGGTCATGTGATACTTATCCTCCCTCCAAACTCTGAGCTGTTTAAGGAGGGCATCTGCCTTTACCTCTGTGTCTGCAGTGCTTGGTCAGTACCTTGGTCAGTGTCCACCGTGGAGGTCAATGAGCAGTGAGCAAATGTAGGAACGAATTCACCACTCAACTCCCACGGATTAAAGCAGGAAGAACTCATGAACAGAAATTCTGACATTTATAAGCAGGAACTGCTCATTTATATCTGGACAATTTCTCTAAGTTTTCTTCCCATAATTTTTTTATTATGAATAGTTTTTCTTTTTATCCCTCCACTTGGAAATAACACGCTTTAGACTCTTACAGAAGGTTGAAAACACTGCTGTGGGGTTAATTCTTACCAAAAGGAAAGTGCTGGAGATTTTTCACCAAAAGCTTTATTCTACTTGTTAGTAAGAAAATATAGTGGTGGCTGGAGATTGTTTATAGTCCTTTATCTCATTGCTGATACTCTTTTATTAAAAATTGAAAGACTGCTGACCAGAGGACTAAAATGAAA